TCTTGGAAACCCAGCTGCTTCTACTCTGTCCTATAGGGTGGCTATGAATTGGAATAGACAGCAATAGGTTTGATTTTTTTTTTTTGGACTCCCATCAATTGCAGAAAACATTCTTTTCAAGTGCATATGGCATGTTCATCAAGATAGACCATATAAAATTTTTAAAAAACAAACAAATCCATTGCTGTCAAGTCAATTATGACTCATAATGACACTATATACTGGACTAAAAAACAAGACTTCATAAATATCAAAGAAGCAAAATCATACAGAATATATATTCTGACTACAATGGCATTAAATTAGAAATCAATAATAACAACAAGATACATAGAAAATCCCCAGTGTTATAGAAATTAAGCAACGTACTTCTAAATAACTCATGGGTCAAAGAAGAAATTCCAAGGAAAATTAGAAAATATTTTTACCTGAATTATAATAAAAACACAACACATCAAAATTGTTGGATGCAGCTAATGTAGTGCTTAGTGAGAAATTTATAGCTTTAAATGTTTATGTTAGAACAAGGGAAAAGTGTAAAATCAATTATCTAAGATTTTACCATATGATCCTAGAAAAAGAAGAGTAAATTAAACCCAAAGCAAATAATAAAAATAAAAGAAACTATGTGGTATATACATACAATGGAATATTATTCAGCCATAAAGAGAAATGAAGTCCTGATGCATGCCACAACACGGATAAACTTTGAAAACATCATGCTGTGTGAAGTAAGTCAGTTGCAGAAGGAGAAATAACTGTATGATCTCACTTATACTAAATAAGCAAATATATAACAAAAAAAATCCAAACCCATTGCAGTCAAGTTGATTCCGACTCATAGAGACCATATAGGACAGAGCGGAACTGCCCCATAGGGTTTCCAAAGCTGTAATCTTTATGGAAGCAGATTGCCACATCTTTCTCCTGCAGAACAGCTAGTGGGTTTGACCCACCAAGGCACCTTAAGAAAATATATAGAAAACAAAAGTTATTAGTGGTTACCAACGTGGGAGGGAGGAGAAAGGGGGAGGTTTTGCTTATGGGGCACTGAGTTTATGTTAATGTTGGTGGAATAATTTGGAAAATGATAGCAAGAATGATTTGACAATTTGGAGAAAGTAATCAGTATCACTGAGTTGTATATGTAGAAACTGTTGAATGGGCATATGTTTTAATTCTGTATATTTTCACCACAATAAAAAATAAAATAAAGGAAACTGATGACATAGAAAACTGACAAACAATAGAGAAAATCAACATTTAGTTTTTCTGTTCTCCAAACACAAAAAAAAACTTCAGATGGATTATATATTTAAATTACATCTAGAACCATAAAAATTATAGAAGAAAAAATAAGGAAAATAACTGTGGGAATAAAAATCTGAAAGTAGTTGTCTCTGGGGTGCATAGAGGGATGGAAATTGACTGGAAAGGTGTAGGAAAGAACTTTCTAAGGTGAAGGAAATATCCTATACCTTGTTTGGGGGGGTATGGCTAGTAGGTGTACATAATTGTCAAGGGTCATTGAGCTAAACACTTAAGATCTGGACTTCTTTTTTTTTTTCCTCTTTTTAAAAATTTTGTTTTGTTATTGTTTTGAGAATATACACAGCAAAACATACACCAATTCAACATTTCTGCATGTACAATTCAGTGACATTGATTACATTCTTCGAGTTATGCAACCATTCTCATCCTCATTTTCTGAGTTGTTCCTCCTCATTAACATAAACTCACTGGCCCCTAAGATTCCTACCTAATCTTTCGAGTTTCTGATGTTACTTTGAGCCCAAGTAGATAGTTCTTAAAAGAGCATCAAGTTCAAGGCAGACATTTTTTACTGTTATTGTCAGGTGCCATCAAGTTGGTTCCCATTCATAGCGACTCTACGTACAACAAAATGAACACTGCCGGGTCCTGTGCCATCCTCACAATCTTTGCTGTGTTTGAACCCATTGTTGCTGCCACTGTGTCAATTCATCTTGTTGAGGATCTTCCTCTTTTTTGCTGACCCTCCACTTTATCAAGCATGAGGTCCTCCATGGACTGGTCCCTCCTGTTAACATGTCCAAAGAATGTAAGGCACTTCTAAGGAGCATTCTGGCTGTACTTCTTCCAAGACAGATTTGTTCATTCTTCTGACAGTCCATATTATATTCAATATTCTTCACCAACACCATAATTCAAAGGCATCAATTCTTCTTCAGTCTCCCTTATACATTGTCTAGCTTTCGCATGCATATGAGGCAATTGAAAATATCATGGCTTGGGAAGAAAGGCCTGGCAATCTACTTACGAAAAATCAGCCATTGAAAACCCTATGGAGCACAGTTCAACTCTGACACACATAGAGTCACCATAAGTTAGAATTGACTCAACAACTGGTAATATTTCCATGGGTTTTGAAGATGCTCTAGTCTTTCCTCATGTTTGCTCTTGGAATGCACTCTCAGGCCTCCCAAGGATTTAGGTTTCTTTGTTTGTCTTTGAAGCTACATCTTCTGTCTCTTGTCATCATATTTGCTTATTGCGTGTTTTTCATACCTTCCACTTCTCTAAAAGCTGTTACCTGAGCCCTTGTTATCACTTTTGATTGAATGTACTGCACTTAGCTGCGTTTCTAAGTTTCTGATTCTTGCAAGTTTGTGGAAACAGAGGCGTCTTTAACCCACATCAACCTTAATCTAAGTGTACCACTTTACTTAAAGTTTGTGGGATCTAGAGCTCCTGGTCTAGCAAGCCATGAACATGCCAATAAATGTTTTGTAATAAAGTTTTTATCTAAAGATACATTTTGTTTGACCTTGAAGCTTTACTAATATGCTGAAGAACAAACAGCTGATGCCAGTGAATATTCGGGCTTCAGTGCAGCAACAACAGCTAGCCAGTGCCAAAAACAGAAACTGGCCCAGCAGATGGAGAATAGACCCTCTGTCCAGGAAACATTAAAACTTAAGCAGAGCTTAAAGCAGCGCCTGGGTAAGAGTAATATCCAGGCACGGTTAGGCTGACCCATAGGGACTATGGCCAGGGGAGCAATCAGAGGACGAGCTTCAGTGGAATCTTGCATAGTCTTGCATAGTCAATAAAACATAGATAAAAGTCTTTCTGGTATTCCCTGTTTTCAGCCAAGATCCATCTGACCTCAGCAACGATATCCCTCGTTCCACGTCCTTTTCTGAATCTGGCTTGAATTTCTGGCAGTTCCCTGTAGATGTACTGCTACAACCACTTTTGAGTTATCTTCAGCAAAATTTTACTTGCATGTGATATTAATGACATTGTTCAATGATTTCCACATTCTGTTGGATAGCCATTCTTCAGAGTAGGCAAAAATATGGATCTCTTCCAGTTGGTTGGCTAGGTAGCTGTCTTCCAAATTTCTTGGCAGAGATGAGTGAGCACATTGCATTCATTTGTTGAAACATCTCAATTGGTATTCCGTCAATTCCTGGAGTCTTGTTTTTCACCAGTGTCTTCAGCACAGCTTGGACTTCTTCCTTTAGTACCATCTACTCTTGATCATGTTACTTCCTGTAATGGTTGAACATCAACCAGTTCTTTATGGTACAGTAATTCTGTGTATTCCTTCCATCTTCCTTTGATGCTTCCTGTGTTGTTCAATATTTGGCCCATAGAATCCTTCAATATTGCAACTCGAGGCTTGAATTCTTTTTCAGTTCTTTCTGCTTCAGAGACGCCAAATGCGTTCTTCCCTTTTGGTTTTCTAACTCCAGGTCTTTGCACATTTTATTCTAATACTTTTCTTTGTCTTCTAGACTTGCCTTTGAAATCCGCTGTTCAGCTCTTTTATTTTATCATTCCTTCCATTTGTTTTAGTTACTTTACATTCCAGCCCCCGTGGCTCCAGAAAGTCTGGAGTCCATAACAATTTGAAATTCTGTTCTGCATTTTCCCAAAATCTAGACATCTTAATGCATGTAAATTACACCTCAATTTTTTAAAGTAGAGGAAATGTAGTGTCTTGAGGAGCTTATGGTAGTGGTATTTTCGTACACAGCATCTTCAGTTCAGGAATCTGCTGAGGGTGTTTTTTCGGCCAGAATATGGGGTGAATGCAATCTTCCATAAGAAGAGCCAAGTGGTACAAGACTACAAATTGCTATTCTTATGACATTAGGCCACATAATTAGATAGTTTCCCCTCGAGGATCTCTTCCTCCATGAACCCAGAGCTCTTCAGGGGGAAATTAGGGTTTTGAATCTATAGAATTGGAAAGAAAGTCAATTCATATAAGACTTGGTGACTAGGGGTACCACGTTTGCACATTTCTAAACTTTGCAAGATGGCAGCAACATTTCAAACAGTACTCTGAGAGACAAGACAATGTGCTCAAGGGGATTTTTTCTTCAAATGTATTAACTGCACAAGGCCAAAATGAGCATGTTGCTTGGAGATTTCTCCGAGTCTAGTTTAAGTTCACAGACTGTGGCTCGTGGCTCACAGACAGCTTGTATCATCAGACCGATATCCTGTTGAGGCAAAAACCAAGAGTTTTTCTCATGCTGTGTGGCCTTGAGGCTTGCATTCAGTTCCCGTGCCTGGGAAGAATGAGATGTAAAAGGTAAACATTTCTCTTTTGGGAGGGGGGATGTTGGAGGAGGGCGGAGCAATGATTATGTAGTAAGTAAAATTTCAAGGTGAAGAGGCTGAGCCAGAGGCCATAGCACATAAAGGTCCAGTTCTGCCTTTAGGAGATGAGGAGACCAGAACCCAAGCTGTTTCTTCTGGCTCTTCACAATCTATCAGGTTACAGCTTTTTCATTTTCTTTCAACTCCAAGTAGTGGTGGTGGGGGCATGGGATTTTTTGTGCGGGGGTGGGGGGTTGGGGGAAAGAGGGGAGAAAACAAAACATTTTTTGTCTGTAACAACTTGGCCTTTCTTTTCAGTCCTCTCCAGTGTCAGCCTATAATCAAAGCTGACCTCCAGCATTTTCTGGTTCCTGGTGAGAGTCTCTTGGTGCCCTAGGTTGACCATGACTGGGTGGAGCTGCCTTATAACAGGAGCAGGAGGGTTTCTGGGTCAGAGGATCGTCAGCTTGTTGGCAGAGGAGAAGGAGCTGCAGGAGATCCGAGCCCTGGACAAGGTCTTCAGACCGGAATTGCAAGAAGAATTTTCTAGTAAGTGAACTCAAGACGTGGGTGTATGGCTATATCTTAAGCCCCATGTGGATGTGGGGAGAGGGGCTCTTGTCTAGCAAATTAAGGAAAGTTGTAGCCAAATCAAGGCTAATCCCATTTCCAAAAGCATCAGAAGGGAAACCCTGAGTGGCTTGGTATAAAAGACGCTAGACTGTCAGGAGACTGAATTTTGGCACTGATCCAGAACTAGAGAGTGTGGTTGTGGGCTAGCCACTTCGGCTTCTAGGCCTCTTTTCTCATCTAGAAAATCACACTTCAGAACTCCCGTTGTCTATAACTCTTTAATGCTCTGAAGATTTTTGACTCGGCACTTGTTGTGCAATATCCACAAAGGGCAGGCAAGCACCATTAACCTGAAGACCCCACCAGTGGGTCCCTGCCCTCTTGATTACCCTAGTCTTTGTGTGGCTCACTTAGCTTCTCCAGTGGGGATGAAATAAAAGAAAGTGAAGTGAAGCTGAGTGTGTGTGTGTGTGTGTGTGTGTGTGTGTGTGTGTGTGTGTGTGTGTGTAAAAGAGAGAGGGAGAACAAGTGCACTTAGAATGAGAGGCAATGTGAGCCTGGCATGCCATTTTTGGATTTCTTGTACATCTTTTCTACCATTTGTCTTTGTTCCTAATCACCACAAAGAAAGTGGCTTCAGATTGGCTGCAGCAGCTCATTGCTCTTTTCCCAAATTGTTGCCCCTGGTGCAAATGCAAAAGCTGGATTTCTAGCGTATTTTCCAACCTGTTTCATCCCTGGATTCTCGAAATAGCTCTGTGAGGAGGGTAGGAAAGGGGTCACACCCGTCTGGACGATGAGGAAACAGCAGTCAAGAAAGGTACAGCAACTTGCCCGAGGCCATCTGATTAATGGGTAGTGGAGCTCAGACTAGAGTCTTGGGCACAGAGGCCCCATCACTTGGCCCATGGGCTGACTTTTAGCAAAATGAGTCTTCGGTCTCTCCCATTTCCCCTCTGTGTGCCACCATCCCTTGCCCTGAGGGATTGGGTGTCTCCATGCAGACCCCGGATGCTCAGAGGACCCTGTCTTCCATGCACAGGATCGGGGTCTGCACCCATCTCTCTACTTTTCCTTTACTCTTCTCTGATCTCTTCAAATGTCCTATTTCCTCCCCCTCTACTTCCACGGTATCTCTGATAAGCAAATTCACACATGACCCACAATAACTTCATAATCCTTATGTCTCAGCAATATTTCCAATCTAATAGCTGATGCCAAGAATGGGCAATGCTTAACCTAAAGGAATAGTTCCCCAATAGCGAAAATCCAGGTAGCACAATGGACAGGCAAAGTCTGGTTTTTTGGCTTCTGCCTAACAAATTTTATGTTCAGGCACTTGGCTCCTCACTGCTCAAATTCCTTTTTTGGAATGAGATGGGATGTAAACAGATGTTTGTTTGCTCTTTCCCAAGAAGTGCGACACATCCTGTTTTCTGTGTCTCAGTTTACTTTTCTTTCCATCTGGAACGCACGCCCTTCCCCCTACTCTACCTGTCCTTGAAGACCTAAGTAAAATGCCACCTTTATCAGGAAACTTTCCTGGTCAGATCCAGGAGAAAAAAAAAAAAAAAATTGCTGTCAAGTCCAACTCATAGCAACCCTAAAAGGCAGAGTAGAACTGCCCCCACAGGATTTACAAGGCTGTAAATCTTTACAGAAGCAGACTGCCACAGCTTTCTCCCACAGAGCAGCTGGTGGGCTTGAACCATCAACCTTCCGGTTAGCAGCTCAGAGCTTAACCATTGCTCCACCAAGGCTCCTATAAATAACCTGACTTGTGTTCACACAGAGCTCAAGCACAAGGTCAAGCTGACAATGCTGGAAGCAGACATCCTGGATAAGCAGTGCCTGAAGAGAGCCTGCCAGGGCATCTCAGTTGTCATTCACTCTGCCTCTATCATTGACATAATGGGAACCATTCAGAGAGAGACCATTATGAACATCAATCTGAAAGGTATGGTACGTGGGGGAGGGAATGGAGCGAGGTGAGAAAATGAGGATCAGAAAACAGGATAAGGAAGGGAAGAGAAACCCTCATCACTGAACACCTGCTCCGTGTTCTGTGCCAAATACTTTTGCTTATCACTGTCAACTGAGAAAGGAGCCCTGGTGGCACAATGGTTAAGTGCTCGCTGCTGACAGAAAGGTCTGCAGTTCGAAACCCACCAGCCGCTCTGCAGGAGAAAAGACCTCGCTGTCTGCTCCTGTAAACATTACAGCCTAGGAAACCGTGCGGGGAAGTTCTCCTCTGTCAGAATTGACTCGACGGCACACAACTACAACATCAACTGGAAGACTTCAAGGCTGCTATCCTCAGCTTTGGAGACAAGGAAACTGGGGCCTAGAAAATTTAAGTAACTTGTCCAAGGCCCCACAGGTACTAAGTAGTAGAGCTAGAATTTAATTCTATGCCTGTGTGACTCCAAAGGCTACGAAAGCTACTTTCGCCCCAACAAGAGCCAAATGAACTTCACCTCAAATTCTAGCTATCTAGCCACCACCTTCTGTCTCCCCTAGCCCAAAACCAGGCCTTACAGGGGCTTCCTTAGCCACACGTTAGCCCTTGTGTGTGACTCTTAGGTGGTGGTCACACAGTAAGGCCAAGAGCTGAGAGCTCTGTGACACAAGGTGGCCCCAGTCAGTCAGTCAGCTCTGGGCACCGCTCCGGGCACCGCTCCGGGCTGCTGGCCTTCAGGCTGGACTCCCTGTACAGGACTCACAAGGGTAATGAGAACACTCAGAACTGTCTCACCACCTAAGAGAAGGATCCTTTTCAGAAGAACTAGCAAAACTGGTTAACAGAGATAGTCCAGCACTTGGCTTCCCACAATATTTTCTTAGCAATAATAAAACAAAAAAACACCAAACCCATTGCCGTCGAGTCAATTCCAACTCATAGCAACCCTGTAGGACAGGGTAGAACTGCCCCATAGGGTTTACAAGGGGCGCCTGGTGGATTCGAACTGCTAACCTTTCAGTTAGCAGCCAAACTCTTAACCACTGCGCCACCAGGTTTTCCCATTACCCATGATAACATCTCTTCAGCTTACCACTAAAACCGAACCAAAAAAACAAGCTGCTGCTGTCGAGTCGATTCCAACTCATAGTGACCCTATAAGACAGAGTAGAACTGCCCCATAGGGTTTCCAGGAAGTGGCTGGTGGAGTCAAACTGCCAACCTTTTGGTTAGCAGCCAAGCTCTTAACCACTGAGCTGCCAAGGGCTTACCACTAGAGCTATTATTAAAGAATAGTTCCTAGCCAGGTACCCAAAGTATGCCCTCATTAGATCTTCATCCATTAAATACTTGGTGGCTCTTTCTGAATTTTGGCTTTTCAATCTACTTTAAATTTAAACACATTATCTTAAGGGACTTTGCATATATCATCCCTCTGGTCTCTGGAGGGAGCCCTGGTGGCTCAGTGGTTAAAAGCTCAGGCTGCTAACCAAAAGGTCAGCAGTTTGAATCCACCAGCCGCTGCTTGGAAACCCTATGGGGCACTTCTACTCTGTCTTACAGGGTTGCTATGAGTCGGAATCGTCTCAACGGCAACAGGCTTGGTTTGGTTTCTGGCTTGGTTTCTGGCTTGGTTTCTGGAGGCCAGTCTCCTGGGCACCGCAGCACTCCAACTCCTAGTCCGTCTGTCCTCTCTGCCCAGCCCTTCAAAGTTAGTCTAATCAGAGACTCCATTTCTAAAGCAGCTAATTGTTTCTGGATCATATCTTAGTTATCTGGTGCCGCTATAATGAAATATCACAAGTGGGTGGGTTTAACAAACAGAAATTTATCTTTTCACAGTTCAGGAGGCTAGAAATTCGAATTCAGGGCACCAGCTCTAGGGGGAAGGCTTTCTCTCTCTGTTGGATCTGAGGGAAAGTTCTTGTCTTTTTTCAATGTTTATTTCTTGGTTCCTCAGTGATCTTCACGTGGCGTGGCATCTATCTTCCCCCATCTCTCCTAGCTTAATCTGTTCCTTTTATATCTCAAAAGAGATTGACTCAAGAACACCCTACACTAATACTGCCTCATTAACATAACAAAGAAAACCTATTCCCAAATGGGATTATAACCACAGGTATAGGGATTAGGATTTACAACACATATTTTTGGGGGGACACAATTTAATCCATGACAGATCTCTATCCTAAAATAGCACCATCCTCTAAAAGACCCTTTGTAGTTTCTACCTAATCACACCTCGAATCACCCCCACATTGTTAGGGTACTAAGGTTAACCAGTTTTTAGTTTTTAGTCCCTCTCTCATAATTCCTAAGGAGCCCTGGTGGTGCAATGGTTAAAGCACTCAGCTGCTAATGGAAAGGTCGGTGCTTTGAACCCACCAGCGGTTCCGAGGGAGAAAGTACCTGGCAATCTATGGGACAGCTCTACTCTATCCTACAGGGTCGCTATGAGTCGGAATAGACTCGAGGGCACACAATAACAACTCATAATTCCTACTCCCCAAAGCTCCCAACAACAGGGGATTTGAACTCCCTGAGAAGTGTTAGCGGCATCAGTTTACTAAAACCATCAGCACTTCCAGGTTTAGAAAATACTTCACAAATGCTTTTGTATTAAAAAGTATATGTACTTCATTAAATACTTCAGTAAATACTTTATTTCCTCCTCCACAGGTAAATTAACTTCAAATTTTCTCTGCCTCTAGATTTAAATTTTTCAAATAAAATAAAGCTTTCTCTGAAAAATTAAATTGCACAAGACCTTAAGATGGACAAAAGACACACGAAAATTAAGATTTAAAAAATAATCCTTTTCCCAGGAAGATTCCTTCCTCCTTCTATGGAAGGCTTTCTAGAGCTGAAGGGCTTCTACAAGTTTCTTTCATTACAGGTATTACCACCAGAGGGTGCACTCCACTTTCCAGATCTCAACTAAAACCAGAAAAACCAAACCTGTTGCCATCGAGTCGGTTCCGATTCATAGCAACCCTACAGGACAGAGTAGAACTGCCCCGTAGGGTTTTCGAGGAAAGGCTGGTGTATTTGAACTGCTGACCTTTGGCTAGCTGCCAAGCACTTACTGCGCTACCAGGGCTCCAGATCTCAACTAAGCACACCATAAAAGTCCAGCGCAGAGCTCCAGAATTGCTAAGTAAAAGGAAGGCCCATCACCCCACACTTTTTATAACTGGGTAAATGGAGCCAGAATTTGAGTGGCCTTCACAGGGAATACACAATCAGGAACAGAGTCTAGGTCTCCAGTATCTTCCCAGAACCCACAACCATTTGCTAAGTGATCTCAAAAAATGGCCCTTGTGGCCAAGTTTTTATTGTTCTGCAGCAAAATGAGAAAAATACATTTTATACTTAAGAGTATGTATTTTTAAGGGTGTGTACTGGCTATATACAGTTATGTGTGTGAGAGAGAGAGAGCACGTTCTTCATCTGCCCTTTTTGGCTAAGAACTAGGATTGTCCATTTTCTGAGATTTTAAAAACAACAACAACAACAAAACTTGTTGCCGTCAAGTGGATTCTGACTCATAGCAACCCTACAGAGTAGAACTTCCCCCATAGGGTTTCCAAGGAGTGGCTGGTGGATTCAAACTGCCAACCTTTTGGTTAGCAGCCAAGCTCTTAACCACTATGCCACTAGGGCTCCATTCTGAGATTACTGACTCTTAATTTTTTTGCATTTAAAATGACCTGTCTTTAATGACATGATAGTAATTATATATGGTAAATTTTCAGAGCCTTACTTAGCAAAATGTAAAATGGCAACACTGTGTCCTTTTGGGGCCCTAATGGCAAAGTGGTTAAGAGCTTAGGCAGCTAACCAAAAGTTCAGCAGTTTGAATCCACCAGCTGCTCCTTGGAAATCCTAAGGGGTATTTCTACTCTGTCCTATAGGGTCACTATGAGTTGGAATTGACTCCACAGCACACAACAACAACATGTACTTTTAAAAAATTAAAGTACACACAAACATAGGTCCATGAAACCCAAAAACCTAGAAATTCCTGCTGTCCAGTACCCAAACGTCAATCTCTTTTCACTTTCACATTTGTCCTATGGGAGTCCCTGGGTGACACAAACGGTTAAGTACTCAACTACTAACCAAAAGGGTAGTGGTTCGAATCCACCCAGAGGCTCCTCAGAAGACAGACCTGGCTATCTGCTTCTGAAAAGCTACAGTCTTGAAAATCCTATGGAGCAGTCCTACTCTGCACACATGGGGTCGATGGCAACTAACAACAACAACATGAACTCTGTGCTGGGCCATGGAGACAAATCGCTAAAAGCACATTTGTCCTATGGTTGGGCATGACCAGATCCAGCTAAGGTCGTGGAAGAATACTCTCCTGATCTGTAATAAATAGCACACTTTGAAGCGGGTGGTGGACATGATCCGTGAGCATGGCTGGCCTTTTGGGTTATTTCCTGACACTGAGTGTGCTCCCTGTGGGCAGGTACCCAGCTCTTGTTGGAAGCCTGTGTCCAGGCTAATGTGCCAATCTTCATCTATACCAGCACCATAGAAGTGGCTGGGCCCAACTCCTACAGTGAGATCATCCAGAATGGCCACGAAGAAGAACATCTGGAATCTAAATGGTCCTCTGCATACCCATACAGCAAAAAGCTTGCCGAGAAGGTTGTGCTGGCAGCTGATGGCTGGACCCTTAAAAATGGTGGCACCTTGTACACTTGTGCCTTAAGGCCCATGTATATCTATGGGGAAGGAAACCCATTCATGTGTCAACATATAAACCAGGCCCTACAGAACAATGGCATCCTGACAGATTTTGCCAGGCACTCCCTTGTCAACCCAGTCTATGTTGGCAATGTGGCCTGGGCTCACATTCTGGCCTCAAAAGCCCTGCGGGATCCCAAGAAAGCCCCAAGCATCCGAGGACAGTTCTACTACATCTCAGATGACACACCTCACGGAAGCTATAGTAACTTCAATTACATCCTGAGCAAAGAATGGGGTCTCCAGTTTGATTCCAGAATGACCCTTCCTGTATCTCTGTGGTACTGGATTGCCTTCCTGCTGGAAATAGTGAGCTTCCTGCTGAGCCCAATCTACAAATATCAACCCCCCTTCACCCGCCACCTGGTGACATTGTCAAATAGTGTGTTCACCTTCTCCTATAAGAAAGCCCAGCAAGATCTGGGATATAAGCCACTCTACAGCTGGGAGGAAGCCAAGCAGAAAACCACCCAGTGGGTTGGCTCCCTGGTGAAAGAGCACAAAGAGGCCCTGAAGACAAAGATTCACTGATTTGTGGGTGGCAGGGATGTAGACCTGGGTACCCTTAGGCCATATCTGTCAAGTTCTCCGCTTTGACTTCATGTAGAATATAACATGGGCACAAGCCTAGGTCCTACTGTCTTCCTTTTATAAGATGACCAACTTCTGGTCTCCCAAATGCCACCGAAACCTTCCCAACCACTGTCCCCAACCAAAAATCTTCCCACTCACTGCCCCAACCAACCACCAGAGGGCAGACAAGGTGATTTGCTTCAGCTACTGTTACCAAAGTCTCAGATGCTGTACTGGACATCTTTTAACTTAGAGTTTTGCCTGTTAGTTCCCTTTCCTCTCTTAAAGCACTTCTCTTCTCTTAAAAACTGCTTATTCATTTGTCCCGTTGAATAAAAAGAATAATAAATGTTTTAATGCTTAATCTGGAGGTAATTGTGGTTTATAGTAGCACATACCTTCTGCCTTTCCCCTCCATTCCTAGTTATCACCATCAATATCACCATGCTCCAACCACAGCATGGAGCTGGGTGGAAAGAAAGGGTGGAGGGTTTGGGAAAGAGGGAACTAAAATTTACTTAGCATCTACTATGTTTTAGGCATGTACTGCTGACTGACATGTATTACCTCATTTAATCCACAACAGAAACCTATGAAGCAGGAATTACTATTCCCATTTTACTAAAGAGAAAACTTAGTCCATGGTCACACTAACTAGTAAGTGGTCAAGCCAGTTAACTCACATAGACTGACTTGAAAGACCACGTCTTTCCACTGACTCATGCATGGTGAACTGCCCCAAATTTACAGCAAAGTGTGTGTGTGTGTGTGTGTGTGTGTGTGTGTGTGTGTGTGTGTGTGTG